ATGGACCCTGTGGAGAGCAAATGAAGGTCATAGGGCCTGATGAAGAAAATGGATTGTATTGGGCCTTGAGAACAAGTGATGACTTTGACTCCATCAAAAATTAAGTACAGCCCTAGCCAGTTTGGCTCAGTGGTTAGAGCATCAGCCTGCAGACTGAAGATCCTGGGTTCGATTCCAGCCAAGGGCATGTACCTCAGTTGCAGGCTCAATCCCCTGCTTCAGTGGTTAGGGCGAGTATGGGAGGCAACCAATCAATGTGTCTCTCTCACATCGATGTTTCTCTCTCTCACTCTCCCCCCCCTTCGCTCTCTCTGAAAATCAATGGAAAAAATATCCTCAGATGAAGATTAAAAAAATAAAAATTAAGTACAGCCCTAGCCAGTTTAGCTCAATGGCTAGTGTGTCACCCCCCAAACTGAAGGGTTGAGGGTTCAATTCCTGGTCAAGGGCACATACCTGGGGTGCAGGTTCTCCCTGTCCTGGTTGGACACGTGGGAGGCAACCAATCAGTGTGTCTCTCTCACATCGATATTTCTCTCTCTGTCTCCCTCTCTTTCCCTCCCTCCCTTCTACTCTCTCTGAAAAGCAATGAAAAAAATACACCTGGTTGCGTTTACAGGCAGGGAGCCAAAGAATGGAATAAAGTCAAGGAATGCTATGAATCGAGAGTAAATACTGGGAAAAGACCTCACTGAGGAACCTGAGGAATTAGGAAGGGTGTTGCAGATGCTGGTGTGTGGGCCACCTCTCCAGTGCCCATGACAGACAGCCCTGATTATCACAGCTCTGCCATCCCCAGAACACAGACAGGGTTGCTCTCTTTCAGCCAAGCAGTCCAGCAGCCACCACAGACTGATTCTCCTCCAAACTGTTGACAGAGACTCTCCAGCCTGATGTCAGAGTACCTGGGTTTTCATTTTGGACCCTGCCTGTTACCAAATATGTCCCACCACCTCTCCTAAACCTCTTGGTTCCTCAGTGTCGAGAGGGTGAACAGATGACCTCTGACACCTCTTCCAGCCCTAGTGTAATGTGGTTCTTTGGGAAGGTGCACTTGGTAGAACAGATGCAGGATTGACATTTCGCTTTGTCTGCTGCATCGAAGGAGGACAGTCTGCTGTTCGAAGCATTAAGAAGGCTTTGTCAAAGGGAGGTGGAGGGTCCCAAAAAGGTGGGAAGCTCCTCCAAGTTGCCAAAAGCATCTACTCAAACCAAAAATCATGTCAAATGTCCTTCTCAATTTCTTTCTTTGTAATGTTCCACGTAGCGTGTTGATAACCCGTGTATGCCTAGACTGTGGATTACTGTTCCTTCCCAAAGATTTTTCAGTCATTGCTGTTCCCCCTCCCCCCCTTTCTGTTGCAGGAAAGAAAGTGATGACCACTTGGTACTTACTAACTAAAATTCTTCCACCAAAGATAATCAAGTTTCAGGCCTCCTCAGGCAGTGACAATGCAGAGGGCCCCAAATGGCTTGGACCCACATGTCCGAAAATACTGATGTTAATGTGGAGAGGGAAAGAGGACTGGCTGTCAGCTGGCTGACCACAACTGAAGTTCCAAAGCTCCTTTTTATATACTTGGATGGTGAGGCATAGACCACAGTCAATTACTGGGCATTAGTGCAATAGATAATGATAATGAAATTCTTTTAATTTATGACATGACAATGTTGGGATGCAAAAAAAATCACATTTCCGAATGTGCAAAACAATGGTGTTTAAAACCACACATTTAAAAGTGTTTGTTTTTAAAAGTGATTCTTGGCTTAGAAGAGATTTGTTAATTCATGGTCTGCACAGAGAAGAAGCTGGTTGCAATACCAAAATAGAGACTCAAGCTGGAAAACTGTTAGGCCATTGAAAGATGACATTTGAATGAACAGAAAGACCTCTTGCTGTGGACATTTCTTGGCCTATTTTCCTGTGGTTTTCTTCAGGATGATATGAAGCAACTGCTGGCATAGTTGATGAGATGAATGGGAAACACCTTATCATTTGTGCTAATTGTTGATTGTGTACACATGACAGGTGGAAATAAACTATAGCAGAGCATGTTCATTTTCACCAAAGGACTCCACCGTGGTGGGAACTTACCCTTGTCAAGCAAGAAAAGATGGTATTTTTTACCTAAATAAATTTATTTTTATCATAACATATGGAACTACTAGTACTTTTTTACAATGTAGAATCTCTTAACATCTACCTAGTAAAAAATTCATGTCACATCTCTATTAATTCTCTGGTCTCCAAAAGGCATTTTCCACTTTTTTTAAAAGCAGCAAAGGAGATATGGGGACTAGTATATAGAAGTTACTCAATAAATATTTACAATAATGACTTCAGAGATTAAGATCACTGCATGCATAGGCTTATTTCATACTTCAGCTCTCTCGGGGGTCAACTAGTTTAAATTTATTGATGAGGAGTAGAATTTTAATTAAGCAGGACCCTCATCTCAGGGCTCTCTTTTCTCCTGCCCGCCCTGCCACACCCCTACCAGATTTTCCATCCTGTGTCTCCTTTCTTTCTGCTTGTCCCCACACTTCCTTCATGTCCCTGCACCAAGTCTAGGCCGGGAAAATCATGCTGTTAATACCCTTAAAGTTTATAAAGTGAGTGACTCGTTCATATACGTAACACTTTGCTAAAATTAGAATTTTAATTAACTTCTTTTCCTACAAAAAATGTCAAGAGTTATATTTCACTTTTAAACTAATGATCATTTAACTGGTGTTTCTGGGGTCAGCTTCATGGCTCCAGAATCAGGTATGCAGTTAGATCACTTACTTACAGGTGTACCCCAATACTTAATTTGTTTCTGAATAGAGTTGCTATTCAAACCTTCCGTGGAATCTGCAGCAGTGACTGCCATTTGAATGGAAGATTAATGAGGGCTTTCCGTGCTTATGTTCTTCTTTAATTGGCTTTCATGTTTCCTTTTATTTCTTTTCCCTCCAGAGGGACAGAATACTTTCGGGAAGAAAAATCTTTTTTTCAAGGTTACCCTGGATCTGTGAAAACATTGTTTTCTCTCTTTTTAATAATTTTAAACAAGTGTGACTTTACCAACTATATTATCTGTTTAGATTTTATTGAACAATGTTGTTCTCCTAACTCTGCTA